CATTCGTAAAATTCCAGTGGGAACTTTATCCCTTGATTGCCTACTGATTCCCTGGGGATAGGAAAAGAAACACCCCAAGAGAGATAAAAAGGTAAACCTCAATATTCATTTACTGCTTAGTGTGAATGAGCTTTTCCCAGTCTTTCCAGAAAACACAGATAAACACAGATTGAGAGCATGGAGAGAAGAGCGTACTGGAAATTTTGGACCCTGAGGAGGGAGACGGAAATGCTACCAAGCGTAGAAAAAGTTGAAGGAAGAGGACAACATCAAGAGACACTTCACCTGCATCACAGTTTTGCTGAAAGGCAGTTTTGTATGTGTGCACAAGACATTCACACAATACCCGGTTTAATTAGATTTTAAGGTAGCTATTTCAGCTACCACACCTAATTCCCACCACCACACGAAACACCCAGATATGTGAGGAGAAAATAGTATGACTTAAAAGAGACACCAACAGAATGGGTCTTGGATTTTTTTTAACTAAATGTCATATAATTAATTCATGCCTAGATATGAAAAATCCTAATAGCTTGGAAGAATTTTTTAAAAACAAAATGTTGAAAGCTATCAGCTTGAGTTGATACCAGTATCCTTGACTCTTTCTAAATAAAAACTGAAAACTTAAAAAAAAAAGAAGAAGAACCCCAAAGCCAAGGTCTAAATTTACATGAGAGCTGCGCCAGATTTTAGCTCTGTTGAAGATAAAGAAAACTCTCAAGTAATTAACATGAAATCCTCACATCAGTCCAAGTTAAATTCTCTCTAATTGGAGAAGGGCCAGTGATTTTCTATCCCAAGAGGTGGGATTCTCTTTTCTCTTCTGTATGTTTTCTATTGGGAAAACTAACTCCATGAAGGTCTCAATTTAGAAAGTTAACTCTTTGGAATTCCCAGTTTGGATGTAACGCCAATCATACCATTAGTTTATTCCAGACAGGCATTGCTGCCTCTGGGAACTGCAGTTAGCTAAGTGTTACTTAATGAAGGGTTCTGATAATAGGCAGAAATGGTGACTGTATTTTAAAGGGTTTTTTCCCCCTAAAAACCTGCTTCCTTTATTTAAGCCCTTGGAGGTCCACGGTCTATTTGGAGTCTTGCCACTCATTCTGCTATCAATGAACAATGATCAACTCCCCATCTACCAGGGCCAGTCTGTCACCAAGTCCTTTCAACCCTTCCTCCAAAATGTACTTGAATTCAATCATCCCACTCCATTCTTTAATCCAGGCTCTCATCACCTCTTTTCTATATCAATATAAAAAGCCTCTCCCATTCTCTCATCTCTCCACATTCCGGACTATTCCACCAATTGAATATTTACCGTTTTCATCATATTACTCCTTGCTCAAGAACTTTTGACACTCTATTGGTTCTGATCAAATCCAGACTCTTTTGTTGAACTTTCAAGATTGGCTTGGGAACGCTAGTCTACTGCTGTCTAAACAGATAGTCTGCATAGGTGCCAGCACAATGCCTAGCTCAAAGCAGGGCTCAATAAACAGCATGTTACTCTTCCACAGTTCAGACCTTGGCTCCAATTGACAAGAGTTTTAGTATTTCCTGAATATATCATGTTCTTCCTGACTCTTGGGTTTTGTTCATGCTTTCTGTTTGGAGGGAAAAGGAAGAATTGTTAGAAGATGTGTAGCTCCCTTTTTTTGTACCTGGTACCCAGAAATGGCATCTCTCCTATACTGCCTTTCAATGCCTTACCCACCTTCAAGCCCAGGTTGACTCTCATATCTTCCAAAAAGCTATTCCTATCTGCTCTGGTGACATAGAATTTTTCCCAAATCCCTTTGCCTTATAAAACCCGTAGTAGGAATCATGCACATCCCACTCACCTTTGGCAGAGTGTGGGAAGCACAGAAACTAAGTAAAGTTCAGCTAATTGATAAGAGATAACCATAATCCACCAACTGGATAATTAGTCCCTAAATAATTGCAAGTTAGTTATACAATAAACTCCACCTTGACATCAAGTAGAAGTGTGAGACGTAGGTGGGATGCAAAACTGCTTAGTAGTTTATATTTTACTTAATATTCCAGAATTAATTATCCTAAATCTAGGGACCAGTAGAGTACTTAATTTGTGTCAAGCACTTTGCCAAATGCTTTACCTATATAGTGTTATTTAATTCTTACAACAACTTTGTGAACTATTACTATACACATCTTATGGGAAACTGAAGTTCAGCAAAGTTAAGTGACTTACCCAAGATCATACAAATAGTGATGGAGATGGGTCTAGAAACTACGCCTCGCTGACTCCAAAGCTATACGTCCTTAACCTCTACACCAAATCATCTCAGAAAAATATGCAAAAAAAGTCCTAACATAACTGGAGGAATGAGCACTGGATTAGGCTCATAAGAAATGAATAAGTCAACATTCAAAGACAAAGAGGACTCGCTTCTCATGGACTCTGCTTACTCCTCAGCAATAAATCCATGAATAGGGAATTACTCCCCAAAAGTTCATCTTAGTTTCCCCATTTACTATGAAAGTCTGGGGTGTTTTCCCCCTAAATGTGTGGTCTGGAATGCACTGGAATTCGAAAGGTATGCACAGTGTGTGTGATGGCAAGTGTTGCTCAGTGTGACGTTCCACATGCTCCTTACTCAAGAATTCAGAGGGAGTGGCCCCAAATATTTGCAAAGCATCTTTCTGTGCACTCACACTGCATGTGCAGGCAAAAATACAGATCACTGGGCCTCGATCTGGGCCTACCTCATCAGAATATACAGGAGGAGGGCCTTAGAACATATGTTTTTGAGGCGTGCTCTCAGGTGATTATTTTAAGAAAGGTTGATAAACACAGAACCCCAGCTCCTGTCTTCACTCTCTAGTTAAGTGCCCTTTCTAGAGATAGGGGGACACTTTGATCATAAGAAAAATTCTTTCAATTTTGGCAGATTCTTCATAAGGCTTCCTGAGCATGTTTTTGTAGAACTAGAGGGTAGGAATTACTTGAAATAAATGACAACCCTTTTTTGAAGCTACTATATCAAAAAACATGAATTTCACAAGTGGGCATTCTTGGGACATTTGAAAGAAACTAGAACAAATCAATCTAAATTGATTAGTGAATAACATGCAGGAGCTCCCTGTCAGGGGCCAAGAGAGTTCAAAGGAGGATGACAAATTAATACAAGTTATACATCTTATACTTCAAGGAAGAGTCTATTCATGCAGGCTAAAGATAAAGATTCACCTCGCCAAGGCTCTTTTCTGTACATAAATTAAATTCTTTTAAAATAAAGATGAAGGAACAGTACCTTTATTTGTCCCATCCAAAATTATGATATAATAATATTGTTTGAAATAAACAAGATTCCTAGACTGAAATTTTCTTTGAAAAGCCGTTGATTGTAACAGGACTTGTTCTGCCCATGTGGGACATGAACACAAGCAAGAAAATTATATATCTTCTCTCTCCCCGGATTTTGGGTTTACATGTGTCTGTCTTGAGAACTAGTCACTCAAGCACTATTCCTCAAAATCTTGCATTTATGAAATACATAAAAACAGGAGGTGTTTTTCTTTTCCTTCTTGGAGAAACAGTATGGGATAATGGAGAGAGTTTGAATTGTCAAGTCTAGAGACCTACGTTTAAATCATAACTTTGTTACTTACGAGCAGTCTCTGGACCTCAATCTCTGTCTCTGCAAACTGGGAATACTAATGCCCACATTGCATGGTTAATTTAAAGATCAGAAATAATGTACATGGATGCCTAATACAAAAGAGAAATGCAATTAATGTTAGTTGTCATTTCTATGTTGGGATGGACTGGCTTGCCTATTGGGAGATTTCCCTTTACCACTATCTTTCAAGGCAACCTCTGAGCGGGAACATAGGACAACAGAAGACCACGGGAACAGTGTTAGAAGAACAGATGATGAAGAGCCAAGGCTTCACTTCTTCCTACTCTAGAATAAATCCTCCATTGGGGGTGTACCATCCAGGAAACCAGGGGATAGATGTGTCACCACCATAATCACTTGGTATAGTAAAGCCTGAATTGGCTGTGTAACATCAAACTTCACAGAGTCTAGATCCTTACTTTGCATTATTTTGGGGATGAACCTGTCTCTTTTCACTTATTACTTTTCAAAGCATTACCACTACACGGGCATTGTAGGAAGAAAAATAGCTAGATAGCTAGATAGTTGGATGGATGGATGGATGGATGGATGGATGGATAGATAAAGAGATAGACAGATAGGCAGATAGATAAATAGATAGATAGATGGAATTTGTCCTCAAAAGACCCAAGGTTTAAATGGTAATGCTTTTGAGCATGTATTATATGATTTTAACAGACCACACTAGACTGAGAGCAAAGGCTGGCACCAATGGCAGAGATCCAAGCCTCCATTCCTCACCACTGTGACCTCACATCACCTGAGGCCCCCTGTCAAAGGTGGTGCAACTCAACATATGTGTTAAGAGGTCATTGAGGGGAGCCATGATGAGGAGCTCTACGTGTGGCAGCCTCACCTCAGACCTTACTATTTTGAGAGGGTCCGCCTCACCTGTCCCATTCATTACGCTGGCTGAAGACTGTTTGTTATCACCGGAAGTGTGGGAGCACCAGTGAGAAACCAGCTTTTGGAACTCAGGCTTCAGGAAATGCTGCTGGAACTGGGACAGTGATATTTTTATATTATCTAACCAACTGCCAACTCTTAATAAATGTTTCCTCGTGCAGTTTTAACAATGACATACTTTGCTATCATTAGAAATTGTCATACCTCCATGAATTTTATAATAAAAAAAGCTAAAATGGGGACAGTAAAAAAGAAGAAGAAATGTGCTAAAACAACCAAAGGACTGAGAAGCCACACTTGAACAATGCATGATGAAAGATCACATTCCCCATAGGTCGTGCCAGGCATGCATTTTTAAATGCCCTTTGTGAAACTAGAAAAGATGATGGTAAAAAAGGCGGCAGGCATGGAGGTGGCCCTTTCCCTTGGAGCAGAGCATACCTGAGGCATTATCAAGGCTGAAGGCGATGCGTACTGGCTTATCCGCAGGTACCCTGGCTGTGCTGATCATGTGGGCACCTGCGCCTTGGCCTTCCCCTGGGTCTTCCAGCTGTAGGGACAAGAGAGAGAGCTGTTGTCATTTTACCCAAGGTCATTCCTTGAACACTCAGAGGCCCTTGGAAATTAGAGAAGAAAGTAAGTAAGCATTGATTTCTTATGTTAAAGATACTCCTAGTTCCTAGCTTTCTTTCCCTACATTGAAAGGTATTTGCCTACCCCATTTAAAATTATTTTTCTGGCTTATAAAAAATTGCTTTAGAAATATACATCTAGAATGAAATATACAAGATGGAACAAAATCTCCACCCCCTCTCACTTTTTTAGTATCCCTTCACAACGACTAGTCCAACTTTGGCCCTTCAAGGTCTTATATAGTGTTTTATTTTTAATTGAGGGGGATAGAGAAGTCTTAATGGGGGATCAAATGGCTCCAGGTTAGACTAGCTTTTCACACTCATAAACCTAGATTGGATCTGAGATATTGATCTGGGAGTGGTAAAGAATGAGTATCATGGAATCATTTCAAGAATACCAAAGATTATTTAAAAATATCCCACAGTTATATTATGAATATTATGTGCTTTAAATATATGATCAACTACCTGTAAATCTAGCAAACATTTCCAAGTTTGTACATCTTAACAACGTATGATACAAGAAAAGACAAAACTTAAAAACATCCTATTGATGTTCTACCTCACCCATTAAATTATCATTTAATTAACAAACTAAAATAAAATGAATGGAAAAACATCCTACAGATAAGATGGATTGGGATGGGCAAAAATACATAAATATATCTTTGTTATAATAAGAGAATTTAGCCCAAATACATTTTAACTAAGATATTTGATATTTTTGTCCAATGGGACTGGAAAAAGATATTGTTATAAATACATGACATCTTTATTATTTAAATACATATATTTAACTTTTCTATTTTTAGTGCTGTTCCCCTAAACCCTCTACTTTCCTTCTCACGGAATCAGTAAATCAAAAGCTCTGAATGATATTTTAAGGAAAACATCTCTAAAAATGGCAAAATATAAATCATCTCTTTAGCCATCCTTAGCAGGATTCTGGGAACTGCTTTCACGGGAGATTTTCTCATCGCAAGGTTTCAGGCTTTTTCCCATAACTTTTCTCTATCTAAAAATAGTGTCTAGAACACTGAATTTTGTTTTTACAATTATTAATAGAGCCAAAGCAAATGCACATATATATATACACACACACATATATACACACATATATTTAGACACACATACATATGGAATCGTCTTACCCAGTATATGAAAAGAGAACAAGTTTATATTAAACACCTAATATAGTTTTGGAGAAAAACCAGCAATCGTATTTGGTCCATTCATTTAACACTACAAATAGAATGAACCATAAAGCACTCCAAGTCATGCCATTCTAAGTTAGAAAAAAGTAGTAACGTGAAACATTCAATGTAAGAAAACGGTAACATAAGATCGCTGTTACTAGACTGAGGATTTGTTTTATCTTAGCTCTGACATACATTTCTGTGTGGTCTCGTCTGCTTAGAATCAACCTTCTTGTTAGCCACCTGTTCCTAGGGAATAGAACAGACTGTCTCAAATTTAACAAAACAAACAATAAAAATCCCCTCAGAGTTGTAGCTAAAAGAAAAATTCTTATTGTTACGCACTGTACCATCATCAAACCCTTTTATCATAACATCTAAGGATGAAAAGCTGGGCTCCTCTTTTGGCTACATCTCCCAACACTTTCCTGCACCAAGAAAGCAAGCACAAGAGGTGGAAATTTGCCTCCAGGATTTTGTACAGAGATCTCTGGTATCGTTTCCAGCAACAGGAAATGGAATTGATAAACACAGCTAATTACAGCCCCTCCCCTCCACACCATCAAGAACATCTGTCTGCCTCCAAAAGGATGGCGGCAAAGAAGAGGGGTGGGTTTTGAGTCCCACACGGTGTGGACCATAAGAGCCCCTCAACCAACTTGCCTTTTCATCACACCGCCTGGGGAAATGGACCACTGGTTCCTCCTCTCGGCTGTAACAGAGCTTTGGTTAAGTTGCTGGTGCTCCGAGCGTTTAGTTCGGTTTTCACACCTGTTGCCTTACCTCACTTGGTTGAGTGTCTGCACTTGTGTAATCCAGGGCCAGCCACTGCCTTGGCCAGTCGTTGCCTTTGTGGAGTAAAGACTTAGCAAGAGAGCAGGCTGCACCTGCTACATAGCAGCCACTGACAATCTGAGGAGCAATGACAGCTGTCAGGGCAGCTCGCTGCTACCTGCTCTCCCCCAGACCCCAGCGTCCCACGGGGCCTCCCTGTTCTGCTTCCCTCCACAACCCCTCTCTCCTTTCCTTGCCTCTCCAATAGCCAGGATGTTGTCATGCTTCTAGAAAAAGCAAGAGCAAAAGAAAACCCTCCTCCTGTCAGAGGCATTGATAAACAGCAAGTTGTGGAGAGTCCAAATGTTTTAATTCATTAGTCCTGGCAAACTTAAAATACAAACAGACTTGCTTCACAAGACAGGAATGTCTTCAGCATGACCCAATCGGTGCCTGTGTCTATTCCAGCAAACTGGCAAAGATAGCATGACTCCAGTCAGCAAAAATGTCGGCAGCTCCAGTCAACTCAGCAAGACCCAGCCAACTTGGACGGGCCACAGGCTGACTCTCAGATGGTAGCAGCGATGATCCCGGTTAAGAACGTGAGGTTTGAGGTTGAGCTGCTGATGGGCTCAGTGACTTGATCCCAGCTACAAATGCAACTGACTGCAAAATCAGTCAATGGTCAATAGCAATGGACCAGTAGGGTTTTCAACCCTGATAAAACAGCAGTTAACCTGAATATTAATAGTACTTTAAGATAGTTGGACGGTGAAGTTGAGGTTAAATAATTAAAGACAAAAAAGTATTAAGAGAATGCAAAGACAAGCCTCAGACTGGGAGAAAATCTGTGCAAAATATATACCAGATAAAGGACTGGTATCCAAAATATAAAAAGAACTCTTAAAACTCAACAATAGAAAAACAAACAACTCGATTTGAAAAGTGGGCAAAAGATCTGAACAGACACCTCACAAAAGAAGATTTACAGATGGAAAATAAGCATATGAAAAGATGCTGGACACCACATGTCATTAGGAAATTGCAAATTAAAACAACCATGAGACACCACTACACACTTACTAGAGTGGTCAAAACCCAAAACACTGACAACACCAAACACTGGTGAGGATGCAAAATGGTACAACCACTTTGGAAGAGTTTGGCAGTTTCTTACAAAACTAAATATACTCTTACTATGTGATCCAGCCATCACTCTTCTTAGTATTTACCCAAAGGAGCTGAAGACTCATGGCCACACAAAAACCTGCACACAGATGTTTATAGCAGCTTTATTCATAATTTCCAAAACTTGGAGGCAAAAAAGATGTCCTTCAGAAGGTGAACGGATAAATAAACTATGGTATATACAGACAATGGAATATTGTTCAGTGATAACAAGAAATGAGCTATCAAGCCATGAAAACACATGGAGGAGCCTTAAGTGTATATTACTAAGGGAAAGAAGCCAATATGAAAAGGCTACATACCATACGATTGCAACTATATGACATGCTGGAAAAGAAAAACTATGGAGACAGCAAAAAAGCAGTGGCTGCCAGGGGTTAGAGGGGAGGGAGGGAGGGATGAAAAGGCAGAGCACAGAGGATTTTTAGGGCAGCGAAACTGTCCTGAATGATACTATAATGGTGGATACATGTCATTATATATTTATCAAAACCCATAGAATGTACAACACCGAGAGTGAACTCTAATGCAAACTATGGATTTTAGTTAAATAATGTATCTATATTGCCTCATCGATTGAAATAGATGTACCACACTAATGCAAGATGTTAATAATAAGGGGGAGAAATGTGGTTAGGAGGGGATATATGGAGATATATGACATAGATAAGAACTCTGTGATTTTCACTCATGTTTTTTCTGTAAACCTAAAACTGATCAAAAAATGTTAAATTAATAAGTAAAAGTACTTGGAAGGTTTGCTTAATCTAATGAATAAAAGGCTGATTTGTTATGGTATACACAGCAATAAGCTGCATAGATTCAGATGATTAGAGCACTCACATATAAACCTACTTGCATTTCTAACTGCAAATCTTTCCAGGAGTTATTATTACTGTTTTCATGTTATTTTGTAGTTAATAAGGTCATCTTACATAATGCATTATAATTTTTCAAAAGAGGCTCATCTGCTACCTCATCTTCATCTTCTGAATAATCCTGTAAAGTAGTCATGGCCGATATTGTCACCCCTATTTGACAGATGAGCAAACTGAAACTCAGACAATTTAAGTAACAGGCTCAAGGATAAATGCTCATTATGGAATAAAGGACCCAGATAGAATCCAGGTTTTCTAATTTTCAGTTCACGCTATTTCCACTACACCAGGATGTACTCTGTATGAAAGATCCAATTGAATTGTTTTCATTAACAATGTCTGACTCTCAGCTTTTGGCTTGGAGGAAACAAAGGTATAACATTCTTCAAAGGTCTAGCATCCAGGTTCATCTGACACTAACCATCTTTATCATGACACTTAAGTTCAACCCCAAGAAAATCAAAGTTGTGCATCTTATGTGAGCTAATGGGGAAGTGGATACCACATCTGCACTGGCTCCCAAATCAGCCCCTGGGTCTGCCTTCAGAAAATCTGGTGGTGATAGCAACATTGCCAAGGGAATCAGTGACTGGAAGCATCTGGATTCCAGTGAGACTGATCCATCAGAATGGAAAGACCCAGAATGAGGTAGCACCTTCCTCCTCTTCCCCCATCATCAAAGCCCTTGGGGAGTCACCCAGAGATAGAAAAGAGCCGTTACACATGAAACACAATGGAAATATTGCCTTTTATGATCTTGTCAAGAGCACCTGACAGATGAAGCGTAGATCTTTATCCAGAGAATTCTCCAGCGTCATTAAGCAATCCTGGGGACTGCCCAGTGTGTGGGCTGCAATGCCAATGGCTGCATCCTCATGACATCCAAGATGACATCAACAGTGATATGGCAGATACCCAAGTGATACAGAGCTACAAAGGAAAAGATTTTGTGAAAGGATAATTTGACAACAGTGAGAAAGGAACAAAAAGAACACATCTTAATAGTCTAAATGTGCTCTGTCCAAGTCTAATCATATAAACTCAAGGTTTTAAATAATAATACTATTCACCATTTTTGTTCTCATAGGAGCAACAACGTATTTTTTGGCCGTTAATCTAAACACCTCCAAGAGAGTTACAAATCTGAAACCCAAGTGAAATCCCTTCCAGCTGTAACCCAAAATAATTACATAGTATTTTAAGAATTCAATAGAATTATACTAATTCAGTCCAGAAAGGATTATGTGTGTACATCAAAATATTAACAGATTAACAATATGTCTCTGGGTAGCAGCAATAGATATAATTTTTATTTTCTTCTTTTCAGCAATAAATGTGTTTTACTGTTATATGGAAAGTTGTTGTTGTCATTGTTGTTGTTTGGTGAGGAGAATTGGCCCTGAGCTAACATCTGTGCCAATCTTCCTCTATTTTGTATGTGGGTCACCGCCACAGCATGGCTTGCTGAGCAGTGTGTAGATCCACACCCAAGATCTGAACCTATGAACCCTGGGCCACTAAAGTGGAGCACACAAACTTAATCGCTATGCCACCAGGCCAGACCTGGAGAGTTATTTTTAATAGTATTTAAAGAGCTTTATGGATAATGAACTCTAGACTTGCTTCTGAATTATGGTCTATAATACACACAGCATCTCATGGTATAGACTGTTATCACAATTAATGTGATCTCAACTTCTTGATATAATTCAGTAAGTATTTTGGGAAGAATTGGTATGTTCCAGGCTGGTGTTTCCCAAATTTGCCTCATTACTGGGTCTGTGCATTTTAAAAATACCCATTCCCAGGCTCTGCCATGGCAGTGACTCAGTGCGGCTGGGATGGGCCCAGGGTTTTGTAAATTTAAACAAGAAATACTAATGTTTATACACAGCATTTAGAGAATGGTTTAAAAGACATTTTCACCAACACTAAAGCTGGCCCTCTACTGCTCTGTACCATGTGCAGCCCATAGTCTCCAAAAAAGAATATATCATGATACTGAAATAACCAGTCTTCCTTATAACCATTGTCAGCAATTTTTTTCTGTAAAGGGCCAGATAATAAATGTCTTACACTAAATGGGCTATTACCATCTCTGTCAGAACTACTCATCTCTGCCATTGTAGCACAAAAGCAGCCACAGATGACGTATTTGAATGGATGGGCTCCAACTTTATTTGCAAAAACAGGAAACAAGTGGACATGTCAGAGTTCCAATAAAACTTTATTTACAAAACCAGACAGCAGCCTGGATTCAGCCCACAAGCTGTAGCTGACCAACTCCTGCCTCTCCTTATCCCAAACTGAACGACCAGTGGACATGCTCAGCACAGCTTCACCTACAGTGCCATGTGGCACAGGACGAGTCTCTTTTTTTGCCACTCTCAGTTCCCTCTCTTCCATTTACTTCTCCCAACTCCATCCCCACCAAAATTTTAATATGTCTGACTTTCTTCAGTCAGTGAAGCAAATGCCCCTAAGTGATTTATTAAGCTGACTATTTCATAAAGCACTGACACATCTGTTTGAAACAAACACAAGTGAATAAATATTTAACTAACTAAGTAAGTAATTAAAAGCACTTAGCAGGTTTCCTTAGTCTAGTGAATGGAAGGCTAATTTGTGATGATACACAGCACAATAAAGCTGTAGAGATTCAGATGATTAGATTCTTCTAACTGGTTCCAGGGACTGCACATGCAGGCATGGGGGGAAAGCAACACAGGGACCTGTTGCATAACATGATCTCCAGCCATTGTTCTTTTGAGTGGCCTCTTCCTCTGCTCCCCACCCCAGTCAAGCCTCAGGTGAGATTTCCCATGCTCCCAAAGAAGTCTCTTTGTGGTCCCTACTTGCAGCAATGTTGTCATTCCTTTGTAAATCTTTTCTCAGGGTGATACAGTGAAAGATCACAAAGCAAGGACAGAAGCTGTAAACCAAAATCAAGACCGTTCCTCCCCAAGAACTTCTGATCATACATTGTTGAAGCCAGGTACCTGAGGGTTACTGTAGATATTCAATAAGAATATGGTTGCCTTTTGACCTTGTTCCCAACACGGACATAGAGGAAACTTGTCAATTTGCTGTTTTCTTATTTAACTTGAGGGGTGACTCAGGGGATGTATGAGTTTGTTTTGCGGAAGAAAGAGAATGCCTTTGGGAAGGGTGTGTTCACCAGATGGCCGGCCCCCAGCAGCAGTTGCAGATTGCCAAGGGGCTTATCAGGGGTGACCTTTTCGTTTTTCCAAAGCTCCTCCTGCCAAGCCCCTTAATTCAGTAAAACTCCCTCTTTTTGCTCTGGTTAATGCAGATTTGAATGAATCCATGCTCCCACCTTCTTGTCTTGACCAACTCAAATAAACCTTTCTCCATCTCCAAGCACCAATGTCTCAGTGTTTAGCTTACTGTGCACTAGGCACACAAACTTGAGATTAAGAGGTTCAGTATCATTGTCAGAGCCTTTCATTTTAAAGGTGGCAGGGAGACATTTTCCTAATCCAAGTTTACTTCAGGCTTCAGGTAGCAGAACAATCAGCTTCATATCATTTTTGACCTAAAGTTCAAGAGAGAAGTGAGTAGGATTAGAACCATTAAACTACTCAATGGGTTCTCTTTCCTGGGCCTTGTCATTCACTCACTGAGACAGAACAATGTACAGTGTTTAAGAGTCTGGCTGCCTGGGTCCCCAACCTAGCTCTGTCTCTTGCTGGTGTGGGACTTTGGTAAAGACACTTAAATAACCTGTGCCTCAATTTCCCCAAGTATGGGGGATAATTATAGTATCTATGCTATCTGCTGTTTCAATGATTAAAAGACAATATAAGTAAAGGACTTACAACAATTCCAGGAAGACAATAAGTACTATATAAATAGAAATTATTGTTTCGAGGGGGAAAACTATAGAGAAACACACCCCCCAAAGGGCACCTAGAGTTAGAAGACGTAGGTTTGAATTGTGATTCTGCCTTCAAAGGCTATGTGAGTTTAGACGAGACACTTCACACCCCCAGGCCTCAGTTTTTTCATCCAGAACAGGGGTCAGCAAATTGTTTCTGTAAAGCACCAGAGGGTAAGTATTTTAGGCTTTGCAGGCCATACAGCCTCTGTCACAATTACTCATCTCTGTTGTTTCTATTATCAAAAGCAGCAATAGACAGTATATAAATTGATGGATAGACTCTAATAAAACTTTATTTACAAAAACAATAAATAAATGCATACAGCTATATTCCAATAGAACTGTATTTATGGACACTGAAATTAGAATTTCATACAATTTCCAAATGTCACCAAATATTATTCTCCTTTTGATATTTTTAAGCTTTTTTGAGATATAATTGACATATATTATATTAGTCTCAGATGTACAACACAATGATTTGATAATTGTACACATTGCAAAGTGATCATTGCAGTGAATCTAGTTAACATTCATCACCACACCTAGTTACAGGTTTTTTTCTTGTGATGAGAACTTTTAAGATCTATTCTCTTAGCAACTTTCAAGCATATGATACAGTATAGTTAATCATAGTCACCATGCTGTTCATTATATCTCCATGACTTACTTATTTTATAACTGGAAGTTTGTCCCTTTTTGATATTTGTCAACTATTTTAAAATATAAAAGCCATTCTTAGCTCATGGGCCACACCAAAACAGGCCCTGGGCCAGATCTGACCTGAGGTCTACAGTTTTCAGACCCTTAATCTATAGAATCAGCCATGGGAAAACTCAGGGCTTCCCAAACTAGAATAATATAATGTGTGTGTGTGCGCGTGTGTGTGTATGTGTGGTCATTGTTTTGCCTTTTTAATTTGATTTATATGGAATTTAAGTGGTTTTATACTATATGTTTATCATTTATAGTTGACTAGATTTGACATATGTATTCCTATTTCTATAATATGTGTTCCTATTTCTATAATAACTTATACATCAGGCTCTTGGAGAGAGAATGACATTTCCTTTAATATCTTGACCATGGTAAAATTATATTTATCTTATATTTCAACATTTGTATCTTTCCTGAGAATATAAACTAGAAGGACTAATAAAACCAAGTCTTAAAACTTGCTACAACAGTAAAGATATATTTATTTGATCATTTTAATATTATCCTAAGGAAAACAGGAATTCTTTATCATCTATAAATATCCCAGGTATACCCCAAAGGGCAAGAACACTCCATTCCGGCACACAATCAAACAGAACTATCACATCAAAAAACAACCCACAAGGTTCCCCAACATCATCAAACATCCAGACAGTATTGAAACCTCCAGTTTTCTCACAAATATCTTAAATTAATTTTTCAGTTTGTTTTTCATTTTTAATCAAGACCCAAACAAGGTCCAAATATATGATTGGTTGCTATTTTTTTTAAATCTACAGGTACAGTCTCCAACTCATTTTTTTTTTTTTTTTGCAATTTATTTGTTAAAAAAAAACAGAGACCAGCCTGATGATGCAGCAGTTAAGTTTGCACGTTCCACTTCGGCAGCCCGGGGTTCACCAGCTTGGATCCCAGGTGCGGACATGGCACCATGTGCCATGCCATGTTGTGGTCGGTATCCCACATATAAAGCAGTGGAGGATGGCCACAGATGTTAGCTCAAGGCCAGTCTTCCTCAGCAAAAAGAGAGGAAGATTGGCAGCAGATGTTAGCTCAGGGCTAATCTTACTCAAAAAAAATAAATAAAATGAAGTAAAACAAATTTTTTTAAAAAAACCATAGGGTTTCCCACAGTTGCACCTCCACATTGTTGTTTAATGTGCTTTTCTGTCCTCTAGATTCTCTGTAAATTGACAATTGGGTCCAGGAACTTGATCAGATTCAAGTGAATAATATTCTTGTAAAAGAAAAAATTGTCTCCAATATCAACTTAGATAATTTTGCTAATAATTTTACTTAAGTAAGTACAAGCATAAAATTATGCGTAAACTTCTTTTTTGTAATTTTAATTTTTTTATTTTTTATTTTTTTGAGGAAGATTAGCCCCGAGCTAACATCCACTGCCAATCCTCTTCTTTTCACTGAGGAAGACTGGCCCTGAGCTAACAGCCATGCCCATCTTCCTCCACTTTATATGTGGACCGCCTACCACAGCATGGCTTGCCAAGTGGTGGCATGTCTGCACCTGGCATCCGAACCGGCAAACCCCGGGCTGCCAAAGCAGAACATGCACACTTAACCACTGTGCCACCTTGCTGGCCCCTGCGTAAGCTGCTTATGAAACTCTTATAAAACCAAATTTATAAAGCTCTTATAAAACCAAGTTGACAAATTAGATACAAATAAAACAACAAAGTTAAAGTATAATTTATCCGCATTGATTTAACATGACAGAATGTTTTCCTGAAAATAAGCAAGTGCACACACACAACGTGAACATGGTACTCATTCTGTAGCGCAGACTCATTTGGGTCCCTCCTCTCCACACTAATACAGGTGTGATGACTGGTTCCTTGTGGGGCGTTTTCTCCGTGACCTGCTTTGAAATTCATTTTTGATTGGCACGCATGACATCCATGGCCTTCACACAACAAGCATACACTGAGGAAAGTGCTGAGCACTTGGTGTCTGTAAACATTGGTCTCCTTTTTGTTTTCCAACCACAACTGCTTCTTTTGTACCCTATTAGCCCATGACCACAAGTCTGTTAAAATCAGAAGGCCTAAACAGATGTATCCTGAATCCCTTTCAGACATTTCTCGAAGGAACTTCAATTTTAAGGTCACGTCTTTACTGAAACTGTTAAGGAAGCTCATTGAACTATTTCTAAAAATCCCAAAGACTGAGCTGTATGCTGCATTAAATATTGTGGCTCTCTGCCCCTTTGGTGTATGTCTTTACTTTGAAAACATCCCACTGTGAGAGAGGAGCAAATGCCAGTCAAACCTTCCAAACAAATGAGGGGAAGGAAAAAAAGAAGTTTTAGGCCTGAATTAGTCAGGATTCTTTTAGTTGCAAGAGTCAAAAACCAATTTAACATTGGCTTAAATATCAACGGGTGTTTATTAGCTCACATAACTAGGAAATCCAGAGGCCTCCTCCTTTCAGACATGGATTTATCCAAAGGCATTAAAACATCAGGAATCTGTTTTGCTCCACCTTCCGGGTCAGCTTTCTCGTATGTTAACTCCATTCTCAGAGGGAGTCTCACCATGAGGTGGCCACCAGCTGCCTAAATTTACATCCTACAAGCTCTACAGGCCTAACGAAAAGAGAAGATCTTTCTCCTCAAGAATACTTGGGTAGGATAGTCATTGGCCAAGGTTGTGTGCCATCCATCACTGTGGACCAGGAGGAAAGTACTTAGACAGTTGAGGCCTACATCATGGTTAAGGTTGGGTAGAGAGGGAATTATTTCCCAAATTGACAAATTGATGTTAAGCATACCAAAAAAAGAAAGGAAGAAAGGAAGGAGAGAGAAGGGGAGGAAGAAAAGAAAAGACAAGAAAGAAAAGGCCACTTAAAAACCTTATGCTATTGATGCGGGATTGGTGAGTCAGGGAGTCAAAAGAAAGATTTCTTGGACTCTCAAGGTCTGGCAGTAGTGCTCTTTTATTCAGATAATAGCATGGGGACAGGACCCATGGGCAGTGAGGAGCTGCTTCAGTGTGTTGAGAGTTGGGGCTAAATTTATAAGGCATGGCTACGTGACTTACTTTTACTAGACAAAGAAAAGATGATGTAAAAAGTCATTAAATGGTTTCACTGCAGATGGGTTCTGGTTATTGTGTGGTCGTATAACTTTAGACATGAATCTGGTCATACAAATCGGCATGTAGGCCAGGATGCCCTGGGCTTCTCTCCCTGGGGCAGCCCTAATCCACACCATAAAATCCATTGGGTCATGTAGATCGGCATGCGGGCCAGGTCACCTTGGGCTTCTCTACCTGGGGCAGTCTTGATCCACATCACTATTATCCTCATAATAGGATATGTCATTGTCCCATGAGACATTCTGATTTCAAGACATTGGTGAGAAACAACCTTGATGGGACAAATACTATGAGCCACTCAGCTAAGCTCTTTTCACACACGACATAACTTAATGCTCACGACACCTCTTTAAGATAGCTGCTGTCATTCCTGTCTTATAGAGGAACAAACTGAGACTCAGAAAGTTTTAGGAATCTTCCCAAAGTTCCAGAGCTAATAAAGTATTAGACTAATTTGTTTGCCAAAATAAATCTCTTCATCTACAAACCAAAATCCTGTTCAAGGCATATGGCTAAAATTGCTTTTGTAGGAGATGCCTTTTCCTATTGCCAGACTGGGAGTCTCAAAAAGCCATTTCCTTATGAAAGAGAGATGTAAAGTCTCAGGGAGTATGAAGACCTTTGCTTATTTTAACAAGCTAATACCAGCAGATGCAAATCTGATCACCTCATGTGATGAATAAAACCATGAGTGATTCCTTGTGCAAGGAATTCCTGGAAGCATTTATAACCAGCAATCAGAGAAACAAGGAATATTAGAGTGGAATTGGATCTTAATCCAATTCCTTCTTGAGGAAACTGAGGCCCGGGAAAAGAGAGTTATGCCTGTAGACTGAAGAACAAAAAGGAAGGAGATTAGCACTAAAAGTTCACATGTGCTTCAGCCGCACATATTAGCTTTAATTTATGCAGGAGTACTGATAGGCCAACAAAATATTACCTTTGAAAGCAGAATAGGACTCTGAAAAGGTAGGGATTTACAACATTCAAACTTTGAAAGAAACTATACGTGAGGTAGGAAAAATGTCTAATCTCACTGATCCTTCTCACACAGGATTTCCTCTCTGTCACCTCTCCATGCAGAATTGGTAACCAAATTGGGTGAATTCTTCCTCAGAAATGTTTCACAACATGCAGGTGGTGACTTCATCACCTAAATTCCTACTA